AACGCCTTTGTTAATGCTGAACTAAAGCAGGACGTCTACATGCGGATGCCCGGAGGCTACCGAAAGCCTGGTCTGATTCTCAAGCTTCAGAAAGCACTATACGGCTTGCGCTAGTTACTATTACTTTGGCAAAAGGAACTAACCACTACCCTTACGAACATTGGGTTTAAGTCTGTACCTTACGAGCCATGCTGTCTCTCGAAAGGAGGAATATTGATATTCTTCTATGTGGACGACCTCATTGTTGCCTACGAGAAGACCAATTAAAAATCGGTCGAATGGATAATAGGCAAGCTTCGAGAAAAATACCAACTCTCTGGAGGAGATATGCTATAGTGGTTTCTTGGAATTGAGATTATTCGCGACCGAAACCAACGTCTGATTTGGCTGTCGCAATCGTCATTCGTGGATAAGATCACTAGTCATTTTAGGATTCAAGGGGGAAAGCCTTCCCTCACTCTAATGACCACGAAAGAACTTCTTCTGAACGAAGAGCGCGCATCAACAGCGTCAATACAGCAGTATCAACGCAAGACCGGATTAGTGCTCTACCTGGCAGTAATCACTCGACCTGATATTGCCTTTGCTGTTTCTCGACTTTGTCGATTTAATATGAACCCGAGCGACGATCACCATGAGGCCTTGGACCACCTATTCCGGTATCTGCAAAACACCAGGGCACTTGCACTACAACTCGGCGGAATAGACACTTTTGATGTGTACAGTGATGCTTCCTTTGCCGACAACACAATCGATCGGAAGAGCTCGCAAGCCTACGTGATGAAGCTATTTGGAGGAACTATTGGATGGCGCGCCAACAAGCAGGACACCGTGACTACCTCTACAACAGAGGCGGAGTTGCTGGCACTTGCGCAGGCTGCGAAGGAGTCCATGTTTATCTCCAGATTAATCACCGAGCTCGGCGTGACCCTTGACAACAGAAGCATTATTATTCAGTGCGATAACGCGCAGACTATTCGGCTTATTAATTCCGACGTGGCGCTCCTGCAGACCAAACTTCGATACGTCGATATCTATAACCACTGGCTACGCCAGGAAGCACTCGCTAACCGGATCTCGGTCCGGCATACTCCCACCACCGAGATGATTGCGGACGGCCTCACGAAGGCATTACCCGCTCAGCAGTTCCAGAAGTTCGTTATGCAGGTTGGCCTAGTGGATATTAACGATAAGATTTAAGAGAGAAGGTTCAAGGAGCTTACTGCGGAGGACTTTGTTAGAGCAGAGGAACAGCTTGATGGATGAGCCGAATAAGGGATCGGAAGGATGGCCAACCTGACAATAGGAATACGGACTGCACAGACTGAGCCACGATGGCCAGTCTGGGGGGGTGTGTTGAACAGGTGCTGGGGTCTTACGTGCAGGCAGGGATACTTTAAGATTATAGCCGAAATGGTAAAACCTCTAAGGGGTAGATTTCAACAGAACACAATATGAATACACCAATTCACATCAATGAACCGAATACACGTAATGTCTGACAATTATTCATTAATTGACATATCAGTGGACGATGCAGCACTGTATCTGCTGCTCCTGCACCGCGGAGGTGTAGTACCTGAACCAAGCCGTTTCAGAGCCCAGAACATGGGAGGTTCAGCCTCAATTGAATGTGTATCTCGATCTTTAGAAATATTCGCATTGAGATAAGATTTTTGAGGTTTTGGACATGTGATCAATTATTAAAGTGTCTAGGATTGGTTCATATGCGAGCAATTAAAGTGCTACCCCACGAAAGCGACGGGTGCAGGGACCCGGGTTATCAACCCGAAAATCCAACGTCATTGATTGCAATAATGGTAAGCTCTCGCAATCTTCTGCAACCAAAACTAAGATTGAATATTATTGGTGATAGCTTACCGGGGATTTGGGACGAGATACTGACTATGAGATGTCAGGCGGACACACTCCAGCGTACTCCCATAGATATCTAGGCAGTTGTTGAGAGAGAAAGAAATTCTCAAACAAATCATTTTCAAGCTAGATGATGAGATGCCGGTGAAACCAGTCCCTGGAAGGAATCCATATTAATTTGGACAGCGTCTTATTAATAGCTATTTATTGGTTCATCTTAACTTAAAATACTGCTCGTTCTCGCAATTCGTGAGCTCAATGGCTTACAATTACCCTGCAGCAGTATGACATTACTCGGCAATGGAGCGCCACAGTGTGAAGTTGATAGACTAGTGGGTTTCAGAAGTCGATCTGTCGCGGATTATCAAAGATCCGGCATTCTATGCATATTGTGGTCTTATCTTATCTCTCCTCACTACCTAAAAGAGCCTTAATAACACTATATTCACACTGTACAATCAAGAAGGCAACACAACCGACAATTTCCAGTCCTTACAACCACAATGTTCATACTTCTATATGATATATTGTGACAAATGGAATAGCTCATCAGGATCTGAAGAAGCAAAGTCGGATGTAGTATCACTATAGAAACGCTTTGTAATGCCGGGACTGTTACAGTACTCAGCTCTAAGTCCAGTGAGCGCACACGAATCTTGTGATGTTTACTGAAAAATGGACCACATCATGGGATGCACAGGTTCCCTACTTCTTTGTAAGCCATTCTACCACTATGGTCGGATCGCCTTACAGCCAAACCTTGGTAACAAAGCCGGCATGCTACACGCGTCACTTCAAACTCTCATTGGCAGCAGGTCTGGATGTCAAGCCTTAAACCGGTCTCGTTAACGTTACTGACATAAGTCCAGTTGTGGTTGTGACATTTCTGTGACCCGTAAAGGACCCTTGGAAGTGTTTGAGTCATTTTTGCAAGGATCAATCATGAATACTGCATTTGTTCATGATAATTCACAATAAAAGTGATAATTTCCCAGCAGTTCTTTAACAAAAGGAGTGACAACTAAATTGGCCCGAGATCGCCATCTCTTAATGGGTTCACCTCTTGAAGGCTTCCAAGGCTTTCACAGCCTTTCGTGGCAATCCAATACTGATGATGCGTTTTCGATATGTCCCATTTCAGCCCAAAGTGACAGAATCGGCACGCATCAGACGGATCTGCAACTGCCGTCATAAGACCTCCTCCACGTACCTGGAATTCCCCTGCGTCAAGACTTTTTAGACCAACGGCTTCAGCTCTTCCGTCTTGGGTAAGACTGGCGAGTTTATGCCACCCAAGGTTTGAGTGGCATTCCTCATTGGTGGGCATGGTGGGTTACACATCCCAAGGACAGCAATGTAATGGATTGTCTCACATATGTGAATGACGAATCCGCAACTCGCCTTGGTCTTCATTTAAGGTTAGAAATGTCACATCGCGCCCGTTATTTGGTCGTTGAGATTTTGAAACGCTTGTAGTCTAGACCGAGTTTGTGGATGACGCGGTGCTTGGAATGTAAATGTTCCGGGAACGGCCAAAACCCATCACCGTATTCAGCTGACACCTCAATTCTGCATCCATTGAATACCCGTCAAATGAACAGGAACTCAGATCGAAATGATATTATTTGTGGAATTCTCAGGGACTTGGAGTGATGATTTCATGAGCATCGGCTCTCCAGGTCATGCGGACTACATTCCGCTACTAACTCGAACTCTAACAGTGTGACAATTTGCCTCAGATTTCCAAGAAGGAAGTACTGGGGAGCAATGATAATGGAAAACAATGGCATTGTCTCTCCCTTGCGTTGTTTGCCGGAAAATATCATTTATTAAATGCTTTAACAAGGGATTGTGAGAACCGCTAGTCGCAAACATCTGAGACATCACGATCTTGGCCCAGCATAACTAACTACCGAGGGGCCAGACCACTAAAATGCATAACTACCAAGCATCGAAAACAGAAGAATGGCGTCTACAAGGTACCTCCGTAAAAACCAGGAGAGAAATTTGGCTTTTGCACCTGGGTACTTAAAGTTAGGTTTGGCATCCTGGATCAGGGTCTTCAGGGTCGCCGATCTCACGGATTGTGATCTATCCGCAACTCAGTCCCATCCACGCCACTCATCGACGTCAGAGAATTTCCCATCTTTGGTGACTGGATCATCATAGAAGAAGCTTTTTGAAGTTTATATAAGGACCAAGAATCAGGCATTCTTGAAACATATTCCCAACTGTCACGCCACAGAAACACACAATCTTATACTAAGAATCTTCAACTATCCGACAAAATGCATTTATCTACTCTTTACCTCCACTCTTCCCTTCTCCTTGTTTCATCGTTTCTTTCAACGGTGATTGCAGCACCTTCCAACAATCTACTGGACGCTGACATCTCTGTCGATGGCTTTGGCCTTCAAGATGAGAGAGGAGACTCTGATGGTGTTTCCGCAAAGGCCAAAGTCAGCGCTGAGAACGACTACAAGGTCCCCAGTGACTACAACAAGCCTCGTGTCCTAGAAGCCAATATTGACGTCACTCGCCTGGGCCTCGATCCCGTCATCTTTTATCCCGATAACGATGATGAGGATACAGAGGTTGACGACACCGATGAAGAGAAGCGTAGCATCTTTGCAAGGCTCTTCACTCGGGCTTTGAGTTCTGATAAGCAGGAGGCTCTGCGTCTTCACAATGTCGCTCGCTCAAATGTCAAGGTCAAGGCCATCGTGTGGGATTCCAAGCTTGAGTCAGCTGCTACAGCTTATGCTAAGAAGCTGGTCAAGGCTGGTAAGATGCAGCACTCTGCAGGAAAGGACCGTCCCAACCAGGGTGAGAATCTTGCATATGCTTGGGCAAGCAACGGCTTCAAGAACCCTATCACTGCTGGTGCTCAGGGATGGTATGTCAACTCTCTCTCTTAGCATGATACACAACTGACAACAGGTCTCAGGCTGAACGAGAAGAAGTACTACAAGGGAGAGACTATCCCCAAGGGTAACTTCTCAAAATATGGCCACTACAGTAAGATAATCAATCCGTCCCATCTCACCATACATGACTAACCGTTCGTCAGCTCAATGTGTCTGGAAGAGCTCAACAAAGATCGGCATTGGCGCCGCCAAGGACTCCAAGGGCGCATGGTACACTGTTGCTCGATATTCAGGACCCGGCAATATTGTCGGCCAGAAGCCTTACTGAGGCATAAAAGATTGAACCAAAAGGAGATTGCTGAATGAAAGATCTGCCTGGGGCAGTTGAGAAGGAACAAGATGGATGTTTCTAGCGAGCGCTGACCTGATACCTTCTTTGATTCATGCCTTTTCGTCGAAAGTGGCTATATGTATTACTACTAGAATACCTCACATTCGCTTACGTGTTACGAATTATGTTAAACAAATTGATTTGTTAAACCAGTTGCTGTTTCCCATTTCGCATCATGTGAATAATCTGGGCTTTCTTTTGGTGATGTGCGAATACCAACAAGCAGACATCCGTGTTTTTGTATGTCACAGTCCGGATACAGGTACACGATATTATGCTTCCATCAGGCTCATGTAGCTTGATGCGTTTGGTTCTTCGCTAAGGCCTTGAGTTCTAACATACGGTTATTGATCTGGAGTCCGTTGAAGGCGCGGGGTCTGATCATGATTGTGACATCCGTTATCGGGATCACGCAAGAGTCTCAGCAAGTCACAACTCGATTTAGATCCTGCTATTGCCGAAGACGTGATTTTTTGTACTCAAGTGGCATCAAAGATGCGAAGGCGTGATTGGACTTGCGGGGTTCGTTAACATAAATATGGAAGCAATTCGGACTTGAAATGGGTTTGCAGGATGGCATTTGCATATACAGCTCAACTGACAACCATTGCAATTCCCCCATCTCCTGAGCATTTACAAAACAATCTGTAATTTTGAACTGGCTTATTTCTTTTGCAGCTGATATGGCGCCCAACTCAACTACGAACGGGAGTGCCACCGACAACAGCAACAATGATCTCAAGAAGAAAATCATCATCAATGCCTTTGACATGTCAACGATTGGGCACTTATCGCCAGGTCAATGGAAGGTCAATACCACTGCACTCTTTGCAGCAAACCGATGCTAAATCCAAATAGAATCCAGTAGACAAGTCGGCAACAAAGCGCGACCTTCAGTATTGGATCGACCTAGCCAAGCTGCTTGAGAAGGGGGGTATCAACGCGCTCTTCCTGGCAGATACCTATGGCGGTTATGACACATATGAAGGGAAGCTAGACAACTGTATTCGCCGTGCCGCTCAATGGCCCATGACAGATCCAACTATTCCCATCAGTGCCATGGCAGCTGTGACGAAGAACCTGTCTTTCGCCATCACTGCTTCAACATCTTTTGAGCCACCTTTTCTCCTGGCAAAGCGCTTCTCTTCATTGGACCACTTCACCAGAGGAAGAATTGGTAAGTATTGAGTGGTGAAACGGCACCCATGAGAGACTAACATCATTTAAAAGGCTGGAACATTGTCACCAGCTGGAAGAAAGCGGCTTTCAAAGCCATTGGCCTGGACAGTCCTATTGCACATGATGAGAGATATGAGCAGGCCGATGAGTACCTGCGTGTCCTGTATAAGTATGTCACTTTTTTATGGCCCTCGTAGGGCTTGACACTAACCGCAAGGCAGACTCTGGGAAGGCTCCTGGGCAGATGACGCCATCTCCCCTGATCCAGAGAACGACAGCTATGCGGATCCCGAAAAGATCAGGACCATCCACCATCATGGCAAGTTCTTTGACTTGGACACTCGCCATATTGTTGACCCTTCACCTCAACGCACACCATTCTTGTTCCAAGCTGGTACCTCATCTGCCGGTCAGACGTTTGCCGCAACCCATGCAGAAGGCATCTTCGTGTCTTCCCACTCACCCAAACTGCTCAAACCTAAGATCCAAGCAATTCGGAAGCAGGCTGCTGAACTAGGCCGAGATCCTCAATCGCTCAAGTTCTTTGCGACCTTCACTCCCATAGTTGGTCGCACTGATGAAGAAGCGCAAGAAAAGCTCAAGGAACTACAGAAGTACGCCTCGACTATTGGTGGACTAGTTCTCGTCAGCGGATGGACTGGCATCGACTTATCCAAGATTCCACTTGACCAAGAACTCACCTCTGCGGACTCTCTAGAGCAGCACAAGGTTCAAAGTCTTCTCGATGCATTCACTGTCACCAGTGAACATGTTCCAAAGTGGACGCCAAGAGTCATTGCCGAGAAGGCTGGCATCGGTGGACTGGGACCAGTCTCTGTTGGAAGTCCTCAGACTGTTGCTGATGAGATGGAGCGTTGGATCGAGGAGGGAGACTTGGATGGCTTCAATGTTGGTTATGTTACCACGCCAGGGACTTTTGAGGATCTGGTTGAACTACTAGTGCCAGAGCTCCGAAGAAGGGGCTTGTATCACGAAATACCTAGTGAAGGGGGTCATACTCTGCGAGAGAATGTCTATGGCATTGGTCAATCTGGGCTCCGGGATGATCACACTGGGTCAAAGTACAAGTATGATGTGTTCAAGGAGGAATAGTCTTTAGTCTATAGAATATAGGTTCAGCCGCTGGCAGTGTCTTAGATCAACTAGAGCATGAGTGCAGCCCATACGGCAAAACACAATCCTCAACCTACCCCAAAGCATAAGGATCCAAACTGCGTGGCCTCGTCTCATATCGATAGCTTACCAATCTTTAGATTTATAAGCGCTCGTGATCAGAAGGTATCCGACCCAGCCGCCCTATCCGAGGAGATCCTGGACGTGAGAGGTTGATTCAGGAACTGTTTCATTCATCGTCGCGCGGCCATTTACTATGCATTTTTCCCAAGTTTTTCAACCTCTCTGCATCACATTCACGAATACGGTCAGGAACCTGCAGACAGCAGTTTTGTGAAACCCTGATGAGGAAGTATAGGGCGAAGGTTGGAGATGATAGATTGTCGCTAAATGGTGAGGTCACTGGGCATTGAATCTTCAACAGGGGTTCGGGGGCCGTGCCGCCTGTTGGCAGCTGTCAAGCGAGTGGAGGCCACCAAAGTTTAGGTTGCTGTTGCTGTTGGTAGGTTGCTGCTGTGAAGTTGACATTTCCATTCGTCCATTGAAGCTGCCTTCGTTACTCTGTAGATCCAGTCGGCTCAGTGTATCTTCAGCATTTGACGTGATAAACTGTTATGCGACTGTCGACCTCACGGCTAATGCTCAAACAATCCTCATTGACCTGGACGTTTTGGCCAGTGCGGCCTAAAACTCTTCAATCCCCACCTCTGGTAGTTAAGCTGCCGAAACACTGCAGTTACAGAACCTTGAAGCGCCGAAGGAACAAGTTTTGCAACATTATGCCACTTTTCCCTACTCCTGAGTTGTTGGTTCGAAAGTATCTATTAGGTTCTTATGACAGGATCGCTAAGAATCGGTCAACCAACAACAGGCAATCGCATATCGCAAGACGTTCTAGAAAGTATTTGGCTTCCCTGGACCCGCTGTGACGCAGTTTGAGTAGGTGCTTATAGCGCCCACAGTTCTTGGCCCATTGCCACGTTGCGCTGAGCACTGCCGTATCCGACACACCAGACACTTTCAGCGTGGAGAGGTTCAATATAACGACTCTTGACGGTCTCATTCGCTGTCATGACATTTGTCAAGTTTCAGCAAGATCGCGATCGACGAAGATACAGCGGATAGTTAGGATGCCGAACTCTCTTTCACATGCGTTCAGCTTTGGAGGCGCCGATTTTCCCGGAGATCAGCTCATTCACTGCTGAATTATTGGTTAGCACCTCGCCAACAACAACAAGCCTCGGCACTCAACGTTTGTGAACTGTGGAACCGTCTGAGCGTAAAATGATCCAATCAGAATATTCAATTCATTTTTCCCTTGGAGCCATTCACTGTCGGAAACAGGGTAGGACCAGCAGGTGACATTCTCTGCAAATTTCCATCAAGAACGGTCAAAGATTCCAATGTTAAGTAAGTAAAGAAGAGTACAAAACACCATCATCATGAACGACAAGCATACGAAAAGTCGAGTCGCTATTATAGGCACTGGTCTCGCCGGTCTTAGTAGTGCTTATCTTATTAAGGGAGACCGTTATAGGGTGACGTTGTTCGAACAGGTGCGCCACGTCGTCAACGACAACCGAGATCCTTCGCCCTGGGTTTGAATCCTCTCGCTAACAATAACGTTTCCCTCCAGGGCGACAGAATATCCTTTGATTCTGCTTCTGTTACGATTAAGAACGAGAAATACGACGATGCTGAACGAATCGATCTGCCGATGCGCGCGAGCGCCGACGGGTACTACCATAACCTGATGCGCATGTATCAACATCTTCAAATCCCGCTGCATCCAATCAAATTCCTTTTTGTCTTTGCGAAAGCAGCTACGAGCGCCGATGGAACAGTCCCGGTCAAGGGGAGCGATAACGAGACATACTTCATTCATGCATCGAACTTGCACCAGACACCGCCGCCGTGGCCGGGCAATCGCGCTGTGATTGCGCACTTTATCGAGATTGTCTTCCTGATTGTGTGCCAATTCTGGTTCACGATTGCATGCTTCCTTGTCGCGCCACTGAAGACCACATCTTCCGGATACAGCGAGACCGTTGCCGAATACTTCGATCGCATACGTTTACCCCGACGATATACATCGCGCTATCTGCTTCCGCTTCTGAGCGGTGTAGCGACGTGCACACACGAAGAGCTGCTCCAATTCCCCGCGAGCGACATCGTCAACTACAAGAAGCTTTCGCATGGCAAGCAACATTACGCTGTCTGCGGCGGAGTCTCGCAGGTCCAGGCCAAATTGACAGAGGGACTGGAGGATGTCAACCTCAATAGTCGTGTGATCGAAGCTGTGCCTCAGGTCGATGGTACCGTGCTGGTTCGCTGGCAATCTACCGTTGACGCATCTGGGCGCATCCATGAGCAAGTCTTCGACCGCGTTGTCCTTTCCGTCTCCCCTGATGTCGCTGGCCGGATCTTCAAACCGCTGGGGTCTACATTGGCGAAGCTTCCAACCCGTCAAGTCGAAAGCTCTGTTTTGAAGCCGGAAAAGGCGGGAATCAGCGTCGTCGACACCGATGATGCCAGCTCCCGTCAATCCATCGCTTGCATGCACCATTCAAAAGACACCTCAGCAGCCCAGGTCTTGACCCTGCGGACGATGTTCACCGACGTGGGAAGCCCTCGCACAGAGGCTCTTCACGCCATGCCCAGTGGAGTCGTTGTCAGCACTTGTCCCCTACGCGAAGAGGCACAGCCAGAAGCAATCAAAAAGGCCAAGTTTACTAGAACCCTCAGAAACACCAAGGGCCAGGCTCTCGTTCAGAAATTGCTAGGGGATTCGGGATCGAAGAAGAGCGAGGATGATGAGGCCATGGCTTGGGTCAATGGACAGGATAATGTGTGGATCGCTGGTGCATGGTGCTGGGATGGCATGGTGCTGCTGGAAGGGTGTGTTGTGTCGGCCATTAGGGTAGCTCAAGATTTTGGCGTAGCGATTCCGTGGGAACAGAATTAATGACGAATAATGACTAGAATAATAGATAAATGCAGATTTCTCTTTGCGTTATCACCTCGAATGCCATAATCCAACCGCTACAATTGCAGTAACTTTAATTAATTTGTACTGGAATTAGTCATTTAGCGAAGTTGTAGTTAGTGGGTGAAATCAGTGCGTAAATTGAGCGACCATGAAATGTCACCCATCTTTCTTCATCACAATTGACAGCCGCTAGCTCACGGCGCGGACCGCAATCGCTATCGACACCATGTTCTTCGATCAAGACAGTTTTGGTCTTGGCTTTGCCGCGGGGCTCATCACCGCCCTGGCCATCGCTGGCATCATTGCTTTGGTGGTGATGCGAATGAGCGATATCTACGGCCTGGGACACTGGAAGCTCAACATCACAACGCGACCACCATCCATGTGGATGAACGTGGGATACTGGTAAGCCCAGCCACATTTCTGCAGCCTCAATCACATATCCATTGACGTTTCTCCCAGGAAAACCCATACAGGCGAGCCAATTGACACGCTCCCCGCGGCTGCCTCTGCACTGCTCGAGCAGGTTGTGAGCGCCGCCGGGCTGTCGGGTGATGCACCTGGTAAAGCTAGTCCTCGCGGTTCCCTCGCCATTCTAGATCTGGGGTTCGGATGTGGTGACCAGACTTGGCAGTTGGCGAGGACGGCTACGGAGCAGGGCTGGAGGGATTTTCGCTATGTTGGGCTTACGCTTAATGATGCGCAGGTCCAGACGTCGCGACGCAGGATTTATCGCGAGTTGTCTGAGGCGGGGACTGCATTTGATGCGGAGGCGTTCAGCCTCTTCCGCGCTGATGCTGCGAAACCACAGACTTGGAGTCCCCAGATCAGAGAGGCTGTTTATTCACTGGCTGATGAGAAGTATACTGAGCGATGGCTGCTTGCTCTCGACTGTATCTACCATTTCTCTCCGTCCCGAAAACCCGTTCTTTCACACGCCGCCAAAGAGCTCGACGCCAATTACATGGCATTCGATCTCCTTCTCAACGAGAAAGCCTCCACCAAGGACATCTGGAGGGCTAGACTCATCGGAAAAATGATGGGCTGCCCACTCAAAACCTTCCTCTCGGAGACAGAGTACAGAGATCAACTGGTGGAGTGCGGGTATGACCGCAACGAGATCACGATTAAGGAGATCACAGACGATGTCTTTTCAGGCCTGGTCAAATTCCTCGATCGCCAAGACAAATTGTTAGCAGAATACGGCATCACAATGGGCGGTTTTAAATTAGCAGGGAGATTGTTCAACTGGTTCGACAAGTCCCGCGTCGTAAGAGCCGTGGTCGTCGTCGCTCGCACCAAGAGCAAGACAGGGTAGGGAAATAGCACCGTAATCACAGTTACCCAAAAGTGATATTAATTAATTAGCATTCCTCTTGTCAGATCTTACTTTTGTGCAGTGCATCCCACCTTATTCTTATTCTTGATCCTGGCCCTATATCCGCGTGGGCTTCCGCGTCCCTCCCCTTGCTTTTTTGGACACGCATGGTTTGCTTTACGATTGCCAGTGTCGTTTTTGCTGGCCCCGCTCTCCCCGCTCGCTGTTCCTGAATATTGAAAAATAACGTCGTTTTGTGGGCGATTGGTAGTCTGTGTTTCACTAAACGGTCTGATGGTCGATGCGCGGACGGACCTTGGGATCCCGGGAACCACGGCGCTGGAATCGCGGACCCGCGGGTTAGGCTATGAGCTGAAGTAAAACAGCCAGGGTGTTAGTTAGGGCCTTTCGCGAGTGAGGCGAAGAATACAGTGACATTGAATGAGGAACTTTGAATCGGGGTCGGACATTTGGGACTTCGGCCGATAACCTTGTGGACTGTACAGTATGTGTCAGCGAACGTACGACGGGAATCGCAGATAGAGTGATTGGCTCCAGTACAAATGCATCATTAATCAGAGTTAATCGCTGACCCGTCCTCCCTATATCTCAGCTTATAATGTTCCTTTCAATCTCATTAATTTGCGGAATGTTCTCGGCCCCGGGCTTCTCAACGGTCCTCGATCCACAATCAGTTTTGTCCCCCGGCGCCAATGTGATAATCTACCGATCCAATGCAGACACTTTTGCATCACGTCACCAGGATCATACTCAAACAGGTCACGGACAATGATCGCATTTCTCCCCCTCTTCCTTGATCAAGCTTGCCCCGCGGAAGCAAAAGAAAGTAATGACCAGTTTAGTTAGTGACACACAGCCTGGAACTTTTCTCGTTCTTCTAAAAACAAACCACATGGTCCCGCAAGGACGAAATCGTCCAAGCGTCCTTGTCAGGGGTGACCGATCAAGGGTTTAGTTAAACCACGTATAGGAAGCCTCGACATATTCCCGAGACAGGGGCCTCATCCTGCAATAGGAATCACTTCGTCGTTTCACTTTTTTATCTGCACAACGAAAAGAGACGGAGACAAAGCCACTTGGCAACCCCGGACGATGGGCGGGCCTTGCTTTTACGATTTCCTCGGGCTGATAGGCTCTTTTAGAGCCGTGTACCGTGTGCGTGAAACTGCCTTTTCGTGATGATCGTGTCAGGTCCGTGGAGTTCGTTTCCGACAAAGCAACATCCTGCATCCCAGACCCGATGGCGAAAAAAAGCATAACTCATGTTTCGGTAGATATTAAGAGTGTTTTAAAGGCCTGAGCTGAGTCTATTACGTCAATTTCGGGTTTCAAGAAACAGAAAATACGAAAGTCTGTCCACGCGGCATCTCCGCCACAGAGGCCTTTTCGACATCGAACAAGCTCACCACGCGGCCCCAGTATCCGATTAAGGTAGACCCCGTAACGTATTAGTTTGCAAGGGTTACTTAGCCAAGCGAGTGTTAGGCTTATCCCAAGCAGGGGCGAATACATCTCGCGTATGCTCGTCACCCAGCACAAGAGCGAACCCCATCCCATGCAGGACCAGGGGGTGCTGGTCCAGAATCCTTCTTTTACGTTTGTGGCTCCCCCGATTTTTTCTAGCTGTTCTTGATACCTTTTCTGTTTTGTTGTTGGTTTCTCGAATCTGTACCTGCATTCGCCAAACGAAACATCGGGTATCTTGTTGCCGCCGAGGAGGAAATGTGAGCGATGAAGCTAAGGCTTCGCGACGACCAAGATGACGGACCCGTCCATACCTTTGTCAATCCCTATGTCGAGTTGAACGCCGGGCTATGGTCTCTGTTCGCGGGAGCGACTTTCTTTCTGTGGTTGAGGTTGTACGTCAAGATTACGAGGAGACATGGAATGTGGTACGACGATTATATCCTCCTGGTATCATGGGTGAGTACACATCGTCCCAGCATAGCGAAGCTGCATCCTAACAGATCCAGTTCATCCTTCTCGCCAACAACAGTCTTATCGTCTGGGAATTCGGAAACGGCTATGTTCTCAAGGACTCATCACAACAATGGGACGACAGAATGCATATACTCATCAACGTCTCGTCATGCGGAACACTGATCGGCCAAGCATTGACAAAGACAGCTTTCGCGGTAACACTATTACGAATGAGTAACCGCTGGCAGAAATGGATCCTTTGGTTCTGTATTGCCAGCATGAACGCCTACATGATCGTCAAGGTCTTCTTCCAATGGGCTAAAGTCTGCGGCAAGCCAACGTACGACAACTGGTATCGATTCGACTTCTGCTTGGATTCCAAGTTCCGAAATGACTTCAAGGAGGGTGGCAACAGTGAGTGACCGTGGACAACGAGATGTGCTGGAGGATACTAACGGGGTGCAGTTTACAACATCATTATGGATTTCGTGTTTGCATGCTTCCCTTGGCTTATCACGAGAGGGTTGGAGATGAAGAAGGCTGAAAAGATTGGCCTTTGCTTCACAATGAGCCTGGGAATGATGTAAGTCAAGAGAGAACAACGGCCAAGAACATACTTCTAACCCCAGTCTAGTATTGCTATCGTCTCGGCTATTCGAGTTAGCTGGAAGGACCAAGGAAATGGCCGTGATGCCTACTACATCTGTAAGTCCTCTCATCTCAGTCTTACAACCTTCACTCACAAATTCCAGGGCGCAACGGCATGTCACAAGTTTGGTACTCATCAGAAGTTGCTGGAACAATCATGGTGCAATGCATACCCATTCTCCGCCCCATCCTCAAAAAGTTTCACACATCATACACCTCCCGCCGTCTCGACTCCCAAACCGGCGAACGCAAAGGCTCCGGCTGGACATGGACACGCAGCAGCAAGCACATCTCCACCGGCCCCCTAACACCCGGTCATCCTCCCATTCTAAACAACAACCCCGACGGCATGGAACTACGCAACATCCCCGAGGAACAAGAACCAGCAGAGTTCGACTTCTGGGGCAAGAATGATCCGCCTTCACCAGATGATCTCGAAGATGGAAGACCTGATATCAAGTACAAGTTCAACAGGGAGGAGATGAAGTTTACAAGAGATGATAGCTGGCCCCTTGGAGGGGAAAGTGAGAGTGCAAGGAGTGCGAGAAGCATTGAGTTGGCACACTCGAATATGGGATTGGCTGTTGAACACGAGGCTGCACAGCAGGGACTGTCGCCACCACCGCCTCGGAGGACATGAGAGAGGCTCATACTGAATTTTACTTGTTTGTATAATAATAGGGTTAGAACATTACTTAGACACGACGTTATGTACATATCTTTTGTCACTGCAGTTTCATACCTGTATGCCAATGGTGATTGTTGTATAAATTTCATAAAAGGTAAGAGATGTGATTATCAGCATGATCAGCATGATCATCATGCACAGTTCTGATACGTGATTTGGACCACTCATCCCGCCTGATAATGCGAAGAATTCTCGTTCCCTTGGGCCAGCGAGAAAAAGCAATTATTCTATGTCTAAAACTCGGATAGCATCTATCTGCTCACACTACTGCTATAGCGAGTATTCGGTCATTATACTCTCGTCCATCTCTTCTATCATTCCTCACATGCAAAACATATCCATCTGCGGTACATCTTACAACCTTGAATGCTCCTGTATCGGCATGACCGAAGCTGTCTCCAGGTATCTTATGTCCGGGAGTCCCTGATCAACCCATCCAACCATGGTCTTCTCATACAGCTTCCGTTGCTCCTCTGCAGAGGGAGCGGGACCCTTCATGCCCCGAGCTAATCTGCTCTCCTCGGTCTCAACAAGCCAAGCATTCTCGTCCCAGTCGTCGTTTTGAAACACATATCGCCTTGTTTCGCAATTCTTCCAACCTGTACCGCATCCAGTGGTGCTGTTCTCCCAGTCATTGCTGAAATAGTGCATGAAGCTTCCGTGAGCAACTAGAGCAATGTGAATGTCCTCGTTGGTGTCTCGACTCAAAGCCATGCCCTTTTCTCTAAGTATTCTTCTTACTGTGCGAGCACGTGCTGCGCAGGCACCCGTGACAGGACTATTCGGTCCATAGAGGTTCTTATCATTCCAACCCTCTGGCACCAGACTCAAGTCAACAGGCCACTCATTCCGCAACGTCATCTCTCTGAGAAGAGTAGGATCTGTTCCGATATCGCAGCCGTGATCAGAAATTTCCTGTGCCTCCGGGATAGCAAGGATGTCCTGTGTCTGAATGGCATCATCGAAGATTAGACTTGTCGTATGCAGGGTCCGCATCATAGGCGATGATGCGATGAGTTTGAACTTGGACTGATCCTGAAACGAGGCTTTTCGTCGTTCGATGCATTGTTGTTGGCCAAATGGCGTTAGTGCGGGGTCCCTCAGGTGAAAGAATTCTTCACCCAGGTTGTGATAGCCCTGGGCGTGTCTGACTGCGTGGATGATGATTTTGCCTGACATTTTGGTGTATATGACTCTGTGGAGAGAATGTGGAGGAGATCAGAGCCATGGGATATCCATTTTTTATATCCAGAAGATACTTGGTCACCAAGTGACATCAATGTTTTCGGCATTATTCATGTTGTAAAATTCTTGACTTGGATGCCCCATCGAGGCGCGTCAAGGCTTGTTAGTGCGTAAACCCGTTTTGGCAATTGACCACGAAAGATCTGCAAACGTGGCAGATCTGCTCAACGTCACAGGCCGTCAGATTTTAAGGCACACAATTAAAAAGCTGGCTATGGCGCTTCAATTACTGTTGCGTTGCAATTTTATGGTTGATTTGTAACTCTGTTTCAGGACGTACCGACGAATCCTGTGCTCTGGCTCGCGTTCTCGAGCCACTGAGGAATAAACTTTGAGAAGGACAAGTGCTTGAACATAGCTTGTAAAATGGCTAGAAAACTTTGTACAGGGATTCCTGTCACCCTTGACAAAGGGCAACGTGCGTCGATAACATTGTGAGGGGGTTGATGTCAAGCAATTACTTCACGGCATCCAACTCCCGAGCCTCGCGCTCGAGCTGCCATTTTTGTAAATACACACGACACATCTGACTTCTCTCTGCGGGGAAAGACTGCATCACGTTGGGGTAATTCAGGTGAATCCACGTAAAAGAATCCATAACGTGGGCGAGCGATTGGTGACGAGTGCGCACCGACGGGACGGCACGACTCCGATAAACGGGAAGCTATGGCCACGTCACAAGCGTTATCGGCATCTCAGCCTATTCATAGCAACATGAAGCTATCACTCATACTTCCCAGTGCAGTCTGATGCCACTTGATATTAGCGCCCTCTCTTTTCCTCAACGCCCAGAGCTCTTTTACAAGATGCGTCATCTGTGACCAGATCGCTAGCTCTGATCTCTCCTCAAAGAACGCGAGAGTATGAAGCATTCGCTGCTGCATTGTCGTATCGCCTGTCTCAAATGCTATAATAGCAACGGGCCAGATCATTGGTGAGAATCGTTGACTCGTGCAGGTAGGTAGAGCTTCAATATGTGGCAGTGATTTCTCAACAAGTGGACGCACCGCATCCATTGGCATGTCCTTCAAATTGCGTTTCAAGTGAATTAAGGCGGCGTAGTAGAAGATGCAGCCATGGTGGTAGATCAGATCGGCATAATCTTTTGCCGTTGACGTCTCAGGTCTATTAGGTGCCGATAGATAAAGTTCCATCTCTAGCCGGTCTAATTCATCGGGAGAAGGATCACTTTCAGTAGAAGACCGTTTCCGCATTTGAAGGGCATTCATCGCGCGAAGACCCTCGTACACTGGCTGAGGAAGACCAAACGACTCGTACAGAGTATACGGCTCAGGCTGAGGACCAAAGTCGTTAGTAAATTTCCAGTATGAGGTTTCCTGATTATCAAAGAGTAACTGCGCTTGCACGACAGTGGCCATACTCCGAAACATCTGATACAGACTTGAAGCTGCGTCACTTTTGTGCCAAACCTGCGGATCAATATGATTGACCCATTCAACAGCGCCACGAAAGTGTAACCGCCAGAACGTTGTCGGCAGCGTCACCGCCTCATTGTAGATACAGATGATGATGGATGCTAGTAGTGACACGCAATCAGCACCGTTTTTAGATAGCTGGATGTTTTTGGCCAGATGAGTAATGCCGATATTGTGGTGTTCTAAAGCAACGTTCTCAAGAGATCCTTTCGATTCTTCGCACTCTCTCTTCTTTGCGAGATGGAATGCTGACGCTGAACAGATAAAATGAAACAATGCCGTGGCGCCCGTTGACTTTTCCGAGTCCGTGCGGCTGCCTTCTAGGGCGATGGGCATCATTGCGCTCCGTAACGGGTTGAGATGACCAGGCACCGGGTTTAGTGAGTCACAAAGGCTGAGTGTCCAGTGCTGCAGAAGCTCGCAGTGAAGAGCCGGATCAGGAAGAATATCGAGGTGACGTGTGATCTTGCGTCTTTGGCCTGGAGTATCGAGTGGAGATGATGTGTGTGAGACAAGTTCTGATACTCCAGGCAATGGCAAAGAGCCTGTGCTAACATCACCGAGGCTGACGGGCGTTGACGTGCTATGGGTATTGATGTCGTCTTGAGGGATGGGGTTCTGGTCGAACAGTTGCAGCATGGGAAGTTGAGGTTGCGCAGGCTGAAGGGAAGCATATGGAGGACCTGTCGTGAGGCCTTGACCCAAGAGCTCATACGAATGGAATATCCGCGTGTTCAAATGGCCGGTGAAAGGACCTTGGTCGAGAGGAAAGTGCTGATCGAGAAAGTATGGCGTATTGCTAGACTGAGCTTCTGACGGTAGATCAGAAGGCCCCTCATTCGAAAGACCGTCACCGTTGTCACTCTCCTCTGGGCCATTGGATGATTGGCCATCTTGCTCAGAGAGACTCTCCCCAATGGACTCCAAGTCTCTCGACTGGCGTAGTCTTGCCGCAGCTTTTCTCTTCCTCCCTCCCCTTCTAAAGGTCGTCGGGTTCCTCACCGAAGCCCAAGATATTCGTACTCCATATCCCTCGCACTCAACACCAGCCTTCTGACAGCGATTACATTCCGGCTTGGCTTCGTCACATTTCACATGCTTGGCGCGACATGTCCAACAGCCTGAGAAGCTCTTTGTCCGGGGTTTGCGGGGCTGGCCCGATGCTGTTCTACCGGGAGAACGGGGCGGAACATCCGACATTGCTGAGGTCAGATCATGCCGACGCGTAGGTAACGTTATTATGGAATGCGGTGATGAAGGGGTGAGGTTGAGTGATGAAGTGCCCAGAATTGGTTTGTCAACGCGAAGCTGAGATCATGTCGTGGTTGAGAGCCTGTTTAGGAATAGCGGTATCGGGGACGCTAACTCGACCTGTGGACGCTCCACCGGTGGCGAAGAATCGGTCTGGCAATACAATGGCAAATTTTGTCTATCACAATTCATCAAGCAAGGCGCCATATATGGCTGATACTGCGGAAGGCATCCGGATTTTGCTTTTGGGTTAATGGCTGTCATGTCAAGGGCGCGGACGGAAGAATCACTCATGTTGATCCCGAATGTGCCTGGCTTTGCACCACAGACGGGAAAGGCTCTGCTTCCAGTGTACCTCGAATACTGAGACTCAAACAAGCAAAAATGATGGGCCCTGATGAGATCCAAAATTAGAAAGCCCAGGTCTAGCTACCGCAAGAAGTCCACTTGACAAATGCTTAATTCCGCTATGTTTGATGATTGATTGAATGGAAGTATCGAGAGCTGCCGGACTCCGCAGTCGATCTCTTGAGATGTCGGTATGAATTACCGTATAAGGCTTAGTGTTTATGCCAAGCTCATATCGAATCATCACGAAAGTGTGTGAAAGCTCTTCTTGGCAATTCGAACCGGGCATTGAAATGGTGGATCTCTGGCACCATGACCGAACTATTCGTTTACAATAAATCGTATGAGCAGTATTTAATTTTGATTCTTCTTACCATTCTTTCTCAAGCATTTACAATCGACTTCCAGCATTAATCACCTGTCCTGTTCTTCATTTCTCATTCCCCAGATATTCTTGACCTGCAGAACCCCAGATTATCAGCAACTACCGACATCATGACAGGCCTATCCCAGTTGATCAGGCCACAGTCACTGGCTCCTCCACTGTTCAAGAAGAGATCGCAGAAATCACCAAATCGGCCTCCTGCATCTCTCGACTGCCAAATTGATACCTCTCCGATCGTCATTGTCAATGACGATGCTACCGATGGCTCGACTATCTCGGGCTCACTACTTTTCAACGTTGAAGAAGCTATCGAAGTTGATAGCCTCTTTGCCACGTTGCGAGTTCATGTGGTTAACAAGAAGCCTTTCAAGAGAACATGCAAAGCATGTAAGCACCAAGTAATAGAGCTCAAGCGCTGCCATTTCATTACGACGACGACCTCACTTGACTGCAACAATTACACGCATCCTTTCTCTTACCAAGTGCCAAGTTATGTACCTCCCTCTATGGATACGTCACTTGTTTCCGTCACATACGAATTCCAGGCTGTAACATCCATACGACGAACAGGATCACTGTCAAAACTGCCAGAGATCATCACACTCAACCGCACTCTTCCCGTCGCAAGATCAATACCAGTGCCAAGTAAACCTTTATTATCAACTCGGATATACCAAGCTGCTGGAATCGAGGTCGACTGCAGTTTCGATCCTGTCCTTGACCCTAGTGGCAAGAATTATGTGAAACTCACTATGAGCGGCCTTCGAAGCTGTCCTGACAATGGGGAGGACATTCAGTTCTGGCGTGTATGTAAAGGCACCTGGATACTTCAGGAGAACATCAAGAGCACAGCCGTGGCTTGTTCGCAGCACGCACAAGAATGTCAAGCAGACGAAAAGAGCCACGCACAAAAGAAGACAATTACTATAGGCGAATCTTCGTTCTACGACGGGTGGACCACGGACGACGCTGCAGGAACACTCAGCATGGAGCTTCCCTTCTTTATCAAGAAAGCCTCCAGGTTCACCCAAGATACCGGCGATGTCGGCGACACATCGGTCACCCATTCCCTGGTGCTAGAGCTACAGCTGATGAAGGAGATTTATCCCCAAGGCAACCCAGATCTATCTGTCAGGAGTGGAGTAGGTCGGATCCTTCGATCTGAGCATCGGGTCGTGTTGAGCGACTTTGCCAGGCCTTCGGATCATGTTGAGGAGGAGAGTTTGCCCTGCTACAGTGATCTCCGGCCTGGACCACCACTGTACCAGGAGAAGGATTCTGAGTAGTTAATGGTACGGGAAAGTTTTATCTTAATCAGACATTGAAGATGGAGGGAAAGGTAGTTGAGAGTTTCATGGCTTAAAGCGTAACGATACCAAATTCATTTACTAAATATACTGTCAATTTTTCGCACTTACGATGGTTCAACGCCATGCTTGTAGTCTCGCTAGAGTAACTGCATGTAAGACCGGTGATTTCTTCTTGGGGAACAGTCAGACTTTTGTGGGCTGGTAGCCTAACCCCATTTCACCGCTAATTATTGCTTACAAGCTCACGCTTCTTCACCTTTTGGCTCTACGAACCAACACAATGACTTCTCCGGAGCGGCGATTGTCTACGGGCGGGGCAGCACCATGCAAAGTGTTCATTGGAAAATCCAGCCATGGCGAATTCAAGGACCATGCAGGTCGCCATTACGACGTTGTCGCGAGTCGAGCTGGCCCTGACGCGGCCATCGTGAAACTAAGCATTCAGTTGTATTGTCTGGGTGAGCCGGAATTCGATCCTCACGACATGGGTTCTTCTCTGTTATATTCTGATGCTATTCAGGGGTGGGGTAATGCCCGTAACTATTGGCCACGCATTGATGTATACACGGGATTTGACACCGTGGAAGAATGCATAGAGCATCACCGCCGCGAGAAAGCGTTCCGCAGAGAGGCTATCAGAAAGATGAAGGACGACGCTGTGACTGGATTGTCGGAAGCCGAGGCAAAAGAAAAGCTGGCCACGGAGATCCAAGGAATGGAACCTCTTCCGCATATCGTGCCATCTTGGTGTGAATCGACGAAGTTCGTTGAAAATAGGTGGAGCGTTGGAGATCGTTACAAGAGCTGGATCTTCGTCGTACCAGCACAAAGATCCTCCTGGGAGGACGTTATAGAGAATGGGCTACTAAAAGTCAAATTTGACCTGGACGTCTCTGCCGCCATGATTTACTCCGAGTCACCGACGTTTGGACTGGCTCCAGGAGGAGAAGGTTGGGTTCTCGTGGAGAAGACTGGCGTCGAAAACATGAAACCTGTTGAGATTCTACACATCTGCGCTAGAGAAGAGCGTGGGACATCGGAGATCACCCCAGGAAGCGACGCGACATTGTTCGGTGCTTGGTGTGACGCGACAATGCAGCTTCGAGATTGTACTTACAAGCCGAAAGGATGCAAGGGTTGTCGTTCCAATGAGCCACATGGTTTCTGTGAGCAGGAGATGGATGAGCACTTCAATGATGAGGATGGGCAATGCGTCGCTTGTAGAAGGGAGGAGGAGGAGGAGAAACGCCTGGGAGAGCAACAGAATGGTCAGCCTGCCTTGGACACTGTTGGCTTATGAAGCGACGCTTACCAGCCATTTCGGCTTTCGCCAAGCCGCCAAGATGCCACTTCTTTAGTAATGCAATTTATTTCCATAACCATACATATGAGGTCGGAAATACAGCCTCAAGCTCAGTCGGATTTAACGGATGTTTCTCAAAGTTCTGAATCCTCATCAGCATCACACAGATGACGTCAGCAATGCTGACAGTGAGAAATATATAAAGGACACCGACTTCCAGCTTACGACCACTTCTCCTCTCGCCTCTAAAACATCAAGATCATCATGGCAGACCAGGCTACTCTGAAGTTCGACTTCATCCGCCTGGAAACCAAGCCAAGCGCGCAGCTCTCCTACAGCTTCACTGCTTCTACAGCAACGAAGCCTACCAACCCAGCTCTTATTGTCTTCGTCAATGGCCTCGGCGCACCGCAGGCAGGATGGATTGCAACAATGAACAAACTCAAGGAGCTCTCTCCTCAGGGTCTTCCGGCAATGCTGACCTTTGATCGCTTCGGACAGGGTCAGACTACTGATCGTGATCCCAAGGATGAGGGAGCTGCGGATCCAACTCACGCACATGACTGCATGGCTGTAGTTCGGGATATCCGACAGCTCATCACACAGATCTTGAAAGAGAGGCTGAGCATCGACAATCCGGATAGCACCAAGCTTTTGCTGATTGGAAACTCAATTGGATGTGCTCTGACTCGTCTCTACGCTGCTGAGTACCCCGGCACCGTAGCTGGGGCCCTTCTTCTCGACAGTGTCCTGACAGACACGGACTTCGTCTCCGTCTTCCCTAACCCAGATTCTGAGGGCTTCGACCCTGCCAGTCTTCCGCCAGGGGTCACAGCAGACAATCTACGCGTTGCTCGAGAAGAGACCGCAAAGCGCTTTCATCCAAGCGTTGGCTCAAGAGAAGGTCTCAGTCGAAAGAACCTTACTCAACTTCTTGGTCACTCAGACTCACCAGCTCTTCCCAAAGTCGACGGCAAAGACCCATACATCACTGTTCTGGGACATGACTTCAACTACTTTGCAGAGCGTACAGGAACAGACTTCAACATTCCTGGGGAGACTGTACAGGCTTACATGAATACTTACTGGCATCATTATAATGAGGGACTGGCGAAATTGACGAGCTCAGAGAGAAGTGAAGGACCTATCCAGGTGCCGAACGCGGGTCATTTTATTCAACTGGATAATCCTGGGTTCGTGGCCGGGAAGCTGCACGACATGTTGCAGAAATTGGCCGAGGAATAATCTGAGGTGCCTTCTAACTATAAATACTGATTCTATCTGGGAGCCTGAATGTTGGTTGTCTATCTAGTGTGTGAATGCATATTTGCTCTTTGCCCTTATCTTGTGTCCATAGAAGTACAGGACGTAAGGAATCGCCGCCAATACCACCGCGAAACATGCCATGATGGTCAATGTATAGTGGGTGCCCATGTTTTCGTAGAACGGTATGCCCACTACTGTCATTCCTCCAGCGATCATATAACGCGTCAAAGACACGAATGTCAATGCCGATGCCGAGTATATCTCGTAAGAGTCAATGATGTACATGTAAACGCAGATAAAGATACCCGTGACGCCATAGCCGAAAAGGACCACGGCGAAAATGGCGGACCAGATGCTGATGCTAGAGTAGTTGGTCCAACCGAGCCAAAAGAGCGAGATGGGGATCGCAGCAGCTGCACCGAGCATGGCGTACCAGAGACGTATTTCAGGCTTGAAGTGGTCATCTCCCTGGTTCTGGGTCGCTCGCAGTGTCTTACGGTAGACGATAGGAACAAAAGCGAAGTTGATCTGCGTTCCGAGAAACATGGCGATGAAGATGATGTTGGCGAGTCCCTGGCCAAGGCCATACGTTTTCTCAAATATATACGGCCAGCCGACAAGGAAGGTGAATAGTACAATGTACAGCACACTGATGTATATCGTCATGGCGATAATGATGGGTTCAGTCAGCATCAGAAAGGGCCGCGTCATGCTGACTTTGAGTCTACTGAAGAGACTAGCATCAGCAATCTCATGCTGGCATCGAAACCGGTCATCTCCAGTGATCCGCCGGTAATGAGCTGCTTTCCACTGCAAGAGAAGTGGACCGTAAGTCTCAGGCATGAAGAGCATAACGAGTACAAGAACAAGCCCCGATGCTATAAGCATAGTCCACTCAGTCCATCGCCAGCTCACAGCGCTCGATGGTCCGATGTAAGCGCCCATTACAGCACCAAGCATCGGTCCACCAAAACCAGCTACAGCATACAGAGGAAAGCTCCAGGTCTTTTCGAGACTGTTGTACATATCTGCGATAGAACCTCCGGAGCAAACAAGCGGTGTTGAAGCTGAGCAGCCAGCCAAGAAGCGGAACGTGATTTGCGCACCAAAGTTGGGTGCGAGAGCTGATGCCATGATCCAGATCATGAAGATTGCCATGGAGAAGATGTAAACTGCATTTCTACCAAATGTTTCGGAGAAGGGGCCTGCTATTAGTGAACCGAGGCCCATCCCAACCAAGTAAAGGCCTGAAAATGTTAGCTTCCATAGTGCGGTGAGAAAGAGCATGAGACATACCCGTTGCGAGAGATTCAGCAACCTCACTGACTCCAAGTGACTCTGCAGCTTGCGGAAGAACAGTCGCATCAATTCCGGATGCTGCTCCGACAAAAAGAGCAATGATGGAGATCTGCAGCGTCACGCCAATCCGTCTTCCAACGGACCAGTTGTGAGGATCAAGAGGATCGTCTGGACCCTCCCAACCAACCACGAAAACCTTTCCTTCGTGGCCTTTGTCGTTCTTGTGATCTTGGACATTGATTCCTGTGAGTACCTGGCCCAGAGCAATTCCCCCGGACATGCATTGTCGAATGGTTTGTGCCGTTACAATCTGCTGCAGCGACTGCTCGGGGATGTCATCGCTCGAAGCATAAGTATCTGCCTCCGTGATAGGAGGCAGCCGCCCAGGATTCGGCTCGTCCTTCTCATCCAAAGACTTTCCACATTCCCGTGCAGCTTCGATATCGCGCCCAGCGTCGGATGTCGTGTGCTGTCTCGCCTTGCCAATATCACGATCAATCTGCGCCTGAGCTGCAGCACCAGCCCTTCGATACTGCAGAAGCGATTGCATCTTTCACTGCCCAAAAAGCACAATATGACAGAGGCGAGAATTTATTAAAAATCACATTCTGGCGAGATTTGTCATGGAGATAACATTAGCGGGCCGAATAGTTTAACGAATTCCCACATTTCGACGGTAGTTGGCTTCGAGTGCGTCATACGTTACCAATGATATTTTCGTGATAAGAAGAAATGGAGTCTGAAGATCCGGAAGTAGATCGGAAATACGACTGATCTGATGGGACCCGTTCTTTCGGACAGAAACCCGCTCGCTCAATTGAAATGACCGTCGATTACCGAGGTCGTATTGGAAATCATTGGCGATATCAGTTTTTCGCATAACGTTAATAAGGCTTCGAGAACATATGTCGGGGAAGTGTCTAGTAATTTCCGGTGACTGAAACCGGTCATTGAGATTCTGGGGTGAAGCAAATCCTTCAGCCTTGGCAAGCCATCCTTGAAGAGGATTGTAACGCTTCAGAGACAACATGGTACACAACCTCCTGTCAAGATGGTTGCACTGTCAAACATTGACAGGCGCTCGTGTTCCATCCCTGGGTATATAATTCTCAACTGTATAAAATACTTTCTTCTAGGAATAACGCAAATTCGAGTCTGAAAAGCGAAACGCGAAATCCCAGAAGACGGAACCTCATGTCACGAAGCTTGCAGCGGGGGTTAAATTAATATTGGAGAAGCCACTCTCCACATCACATCACCTCAAACGTTTCAACGCAAACTGTCAAATCGGAGTTTTCAAATGACACAGACCAAGAGGCACATTCTCTTCAATTTCCATCCTCGGAACAAGTTGAGTCAGTTCGGTTCAATATTGGGAAATACGACCTTCCGCACGACTCCAAACTCTTCAGCGGGTAACCCAACCAAGCCACCCGGTGTCAGCATTCACTCCGAACCAACAAAAGCCAGTGCCAGGGATAAAAAAAGACGAAGGATTCCAGGCTAGACAAGGGAAAAAGGTTTCCACGCGCAGGATGCAACGCACACGCAGCGAGGCACAGCACATAACAACGGTGGAGAAATGCAAATCCGCGTACTCTCGTGTTGGTTGTGAGCTGCTGGCAAATAGCAACCAACAGTGGCTGAACACCTCTGGTTAGCGGCCGGGTCTGCTACCGTTTTAGTTTACCCTGCCTTTCTAGCGCTTCAATCAGCAACTTGCCAGAACAGCCTCTTCCCTGCTGATGCATCTTCATCTGGTCTTCTCTTCGCCTCTGCGGATCCCAAAGTTGTCCCACCAGCTGAGTGCGGAGGGATCCTCAATTAAATATCTCACTCACAATCAACTGAAACATGCAGACAAACAGTTCAGCTTATATTGTCACTTCCCCCCAATGCCCCCCCAAAATGGACGGATCAATCAGTCCACTCTGGGGTACCCCCCTTCGCTAACGTGATCACCAACACTCCAGATCGGTCTACCCCGGAATCCCTCCACGGGGTAAAGAGGCCCATTGTGACAGTCGCTATTAAGCTTAGCCGCCCCTCGTCTGTGTCGTGTTTTTTCCCTTTTGCTTTGTTTGCAAGGTTTCCCCGACTTACCATGGTTACTTCCGACACGACGACGATCGCACATACACTATGGACGACCCTGTTTACTACGAGCTGAGCTGGTCGATCCTCAGCACGATCGGGATAGCTAATGTTTTGTTTGGTCTTATGGTCGCTGGCATCACGAGCTTTGGTCCTGTCTCTATCGTTCCGATCGTCACGTCTGCTGCTGGCGCTATAGCCAACGGGCTTTGCTATTATGCTTTCTATGAAGAGGGTAACTCTACTACGACCAAGGCTGTAGCCTCCGTGTTCGCCGATGTTCTGTGGCTGGTACGTTGCCGAGTGCTTCATGATATTCGATTCGAGCTAATGTATTGCTGTCGCAGGTTCAAGAGGCTGGCCTTTCGTTCTACAGTTATATCATCCTAAGTCGAGTCTTACGTGGTCGCCAATGGATCATCTTCGCCACCGGATTCTGGTTCATGATCATCTCCGTCTCCGGTATTCGCGTGGTAATTGCAGCTGTCCGAGCCCGACGAATAATGAACGCCCTCGACACTGATCAGTCATTGATCAACCATCTACATATGGGATACTTCATCCTCATCGCCCTCTTGGAATGCCTTAGTTCTTTCTTCCTCCTCCGAGTCTTCAGCTCGGCGAAATCGACGTCACTTAGCGCTGCTATCAAGGCTGGTCTGTTCAGATACTTGATGCGGAGTACTGAGGTCCGACTGGCACTTCTTGCAGTACTGGGCATCATACGGGCTATCACATATTCCTTCCAAAATGCTGAACAAAGTGCGACGAATCTTGCTTCACAGATTGATCGGTTTGCGTACAGTATGGAATGCATGTTCCCAGTAATGATGATGTAGGTTTACCTTGTTCACTTCAATCCACCACGCTGACAAGCTCAGCATCGACATCTTAGCATCAAAGGTCGTTTTTCACAACCAAGTTTACGGCTCATCAGGCCAAAGCCGACACCAGCCTGGTGGCTATCCACATCGACAGTTCGCGAATGGCCGTGGCGGCGATATTGTCCTCACAACCCAGCAAGGCGAGAACATTGTTGAGGTTCGGGGAGGAGAGTCGACCGGTGACAGGACAAGTTCACAAGAGCGCATCATTAGTCGCAGGGACCACAGAAACGCTTCTTCGGATATTGATCTTGATGAGATGGACACGAAACAGATCGGCATTAGTAAGACCGTCGCGTTTGAGGTACACAGTTCAGGAGATGTTGAGCGGTAGAAGCCCCAATATCGAGCCGTGCATATTAGTTCTCGGGTGGTGTATAATCTAATTCTATGTATGATACTTATGAGAAATGCCTATCTATTTCATTTGCCCCCAACCATTATGGAAGTCGCCTACCTGTTCGTGTCTCACCTGACAGACAGCGTCCACATAGCAGTTCTTCTGAGTAAGCGCTTTTCTGAACTAGAATGAAGTGTGCATGGAGGTTGGCGAGTTGTATGACCCTGTACATGCATGAGTTGAGACTAATCAAACTTTTCACATATTACTGACCTCACTGTCATTCTGATTGACCGTGGATATGCTCATACCAGAGTCTCAACGTCCATAGTGCTACCAGGGCACCCCTGATGTCTTGTTGCAATGGAACTTGAATTACGAGCTTGTGATTGCCCTCCTGACCTGGCTCATATGCAATACTCTGCCCATCTGCATCTATCCACTGATAAGGACCGCCTTTTAGTTTCGGCCTCATCTCAAACAAGATTTGTTGGGTATCGACTTTAAACAGTTGAACATCATCTGCTGATTTGTCGGCGTTGAGCATCGCTTTGAATCCCAGACATTGCGAAGGAGTATTATAGACGTCGACCTGAATATTGCCCAATGCTTTGGGCGATGGAGCGGTGAGGTAACACGCCGGCGTATCGTGTCGACGTTGCAGCATGAGAAGCGAGTTCACAAGGTAGTAAAGATCATGAGGGCGCTGCCGTATTTTTGAACCTTTCCCATCTGGATGGGATGTCTCGACAACCTCGATCTGTTCGAATATTATGCTGCAATGCTTCTGAACTTTGCAGGCTATGGTGCGGCTAAGCCGGTAAAGAGGTATTGACGGCTCATTCTCCAATGTTATTTGCTGCCCATCGAATATGAGAGTGGTAGGGACCGATGTCTTCTGAGCAGGGGATGCCTGGTCTTGAGTGGTTGAGTCGGGGCCCATCGTGGATGTCAGTGGCGAAATGCGGATGAATCGAAGTTGGTGATGAAATCGCTTCATTGGTTATTGACTCATCTGGGTACAGCTCCACGTGACGCTGTAGTGGAGTTGCCAGGCGGATTCACCCGGAGACAATTTCCTGTTTATTTTTCCTGCTGTCTTCAATAGTTACCGAGCTTATTGAAGGAGAATGTAATATTTAGAGGGGGCTTATCGCTATTTAAACTGCTTGTTGCCCAAAGGAGACCTCATCCCAAACCGTCTTGAACTTCTCCAGCAGGCGAGCATCAGGTGCGAAAACGGCTGTCAGAGTCTCCATTGCAACGTCCTGTCCCCCTATTCTCATAGAGCTTACAACCTCTCGTAATCTGATAACATACCATGAACGAACTTCACTCGCGGGTTCCGCAGCAGCTGCACCAACGAATAGCTGCCAGACTAGTAGCTGCATCGAGGAGCATAGCCTGATATGGGGCTGCAGCAGCGCATACTTCAAGTTCTCGGCCTTAATATCCAACGACCGTCGTTCCTCTATAGGCCATAATAGTGACAGAAAAAGCTGTAAAGAATCATGCAGAGAGCGGATGTAATGTTCTTGGCTTCCCAGCAGTGTATCCACTTTCAGTTGTAGGCGATGAACCTCATACCTAATGATAGCTGCTGTATCTCGCTCTAGTGTTGTGGAAGCGTGGTAATTATCTATTAATTGGCGCAAGTCGTTGGCATCGGATCGAATTGCTGCGACGTCCATTTGCTTAGGGTCGTCTTCATTTCTCAATGCGTTGATGAGGGGTACATTGGAATAGCTGGCAGAAAGGATCGTATGACCAATTGAATCACTGGTAACGGTTAGTAGAAGAATGCTCATGGGAGTGCAGAATACCATTAGACATACTATAGGATAAAATCACCGAACCATGATGGGATTGCCGTATTCCCTAATGAACGTCTAACTTTGATCATCTGGGCCAGACCTTGGATGTGGACGTCTCTCGCTTTGACATCACTCTCAAGAAGCTGAAGTGCGATATGTTAGAGATTTATGTGGTGCTTAAATACTGTTACTTGCCTCTGCAAAGGTCAAGGTGAAGACGGCGCTGAGCACGCCGTCGGTCAATCCTAAGGGCGTGTCCAGCCGTTCGTTGATCATCTTGATAGCTCTTCCTTTGCGCACAGACGCCTCACGAATACCGTGAGTCCTCTGGAGCCGGGGTGAATGTCTTATCGCTATGGCCATGGATGCTTCGACCAGGGCTGGCTCAGAGTGCAGTAGGGCGATCCAGTCTGCTTCTCGGTTTGATCCGGGAGAGCCGAGGCCGGCTGGGAAGATTAACGCGCGGTACTCGCAAACTACTGCAATCCCGATTAGCCGTTACCTCCAAGAAATAGTAACAAGCGACTTACAGTATTCGACCGGGGAGTATGTCGGCTCGATCATGCGGACGAGCAAACTGTCGGCCACCGGCTCGAGTGCATGCCGCAACTGCCGCTCGCCCAATGCGGTCAAGGCAGAGGATGGACTTGAAGGTGAGGTGGTGTTTCCTTTGTTTTTCGGCTTGCCTAATCTTTGTCTTCTCTTGGCAAAATTCGTCTTGGTAATATGGCCTCTCATCTGCTTGGCCTCTTTAGGCCCAAGACCGGGGGCATTGCTAACATTGACAAACGTGAAGGATGGTGCCATGCTTATTTTTCTGGCCCTGAGCGGATGATTGCAGCGAGATTTCGTTTGAACGCTCTAAATATGAAAGAGGAAATTGAGAGGGAATGGCCTAGGATACGCGACGATGACTTACGAAGACGGACGGCGGCTTGGGTGGGACAGATGATCGAGGTCAAGCCATGGGCCCAGTTTATACCCTTTTAGGAAAATGAGATTGATTGGTAGACCAGGGATCTCGAACAGTGACATCGGACCGGCGAGTTGAACTAACCTCAATAAGAAATCGAGATTAACGTGTTTGATAAGCGAGTGTCCCAGATAAGCGAGTGTCCCAAAAATCCCTCACCTTATATTATCACTATTTGATCAGATAATTCTCAACCACCCAACATGTCAGAGTCTTTATATGAGGCTAGGATCCTTCTTGCCCTCCAGGCTCTCCAAAATGACCCAAAATTAAGTGGCCGGAAGGC